TTTTTTTTTTTTTGGCAATAATAGGAACATGAGTTATATGTTGATAGTTGATACTAACTTCAAAAATATTGTTGTATTTAATTTAAACTTTTAAAAAATTTAAAAGATTTTAGTATCTCTTTGAGGTTTTAAAAATTCATAGTATTCGACTTGTACATTTGCACAGATGTAAATAAAATAATATAAGTTATATTTATGTATGTAATGTTATATTATAAGTTAGATAATAATATTATATTTTAAACACAGTATTATAAGTTATATTTGTGCATATAATATTAAAATTTTAAGTTAGCTAATGATATTATGTTATAATTGAACATTGGTTAAGATAAATAGTACATGACAATTTAATTGCATACGAATCACCATATTGACTGCATATGCAATAAAAATAATTTTATCATTAATTGGATAAGGTGGATTAATAATGAAATAATAATAATAATTGTAATAATAAAATTGTAACCGGTTACTGTATTAGGAAAGTATCGTGTAGGTAAAATTTATATGTTTTATTTATGAGATTTTATGTAATGATTAGTTAGCAATTATATATATAGAGATTACAAAATTCTTAGGCATTTAATTTATCTAATATTAGGATTTAAAAAAAAAGTCAACATATATGAAATTCCAGACTAAATCTTAACTTAAGATTTCATATTATTCCTACTGAATTTAATAATTTTAAGAAATCTCAATCACAAAAAGTCTATAAATGTCGCTCGAAATTCCAACCAGAATTGATTTTGAAAAAATTGGTATGATAGTTATTTGTGGTATTTTGAGCCTATATTAAAATAATATGTAAAATAAAATAACTATATTGATTGATGTAAAAGTATAAAGACATGATGAGAAGTCATGTTCAGTAAAAATTATGTGAGTGGATGATTAGTGAATTAAAATTAATATGATACATGCGTAAGAATCATCGTGTGGTATTATTTAATTATATTGATAATATTGAAGATGCCGAGATAGTGGTGGGTTCAAGTTGAGATATATCCTTTAGTATATATTGTATATGAATTGGGAAAACTTATAAACAAACATCGTATAGGAGTGTTAATCGAGTTCGGCCTAACACTTTTTGTTCAAACTAGTTTGATAAATGAAATTGTTTGATTCGTTTAACAAACACAACATTGATGTGTGCCAGTTGACATGCTCGACATGAATCTTCGTTCAAAACCTACAAAACGATCAAAGTAAATAACAAATTGCTGCAAACAAACTCAATACACGACTCATTTAATAAACAAGATCAAATAGTTGTCTAAGTTAATCTCATTTAAGTTGAATGAGCTTACACTATACGATTACAAGTTAAACAGTTATGTTCGAACGAAAACTATATAGTCTTCAAATTATTTTGACATTTAGTTCAGTTATGGAGATTTGATTTTTGTAATCTCCAATTCCATTTCAAAACTTTGTTAGATTTCCAAACCTATTTAATTCAAATCTACACAAATTAGTGTACTGCATCGAGGCGAATTTGCAGGTAGTGATTGCGCCCCTTAAATTATTATTATTATTATTATTTTTTTTTACTATTAATATTACAAATTTTAATTTGCCCCCTTTCAATTTATTTGTGCACCCGTTGTTTTTTTTTTTTGTTTTTAAACGTCACTCACCAAGTCAACATGTCCACAATTGTCAATTAAAAATTCAACATTTCTTTTACTTTACTGTTAATTTTGTATATTAATTATTATCCTTCTAGGGCTGATATTTTTTGACCGAAAACACAAAATTAAACCGGACCGAACCAAATCGATGACAAAATAAACCGAATCGAACCGAACCGGCTTATGTGTAATGATAACCGAAAATATTTTTTGGCCAAAAACAAAAAGTCGAACCGATGAGAAAATCAACCGAACTGAACCGACTTATGTGTAACGGTAACCGTAAATCTGTTACCGACATATGATCAGTTCGATATGGATTATGTCATGTTTTTTTGCTCCATCTCAACTAATTTTCTGGTTTAGTCTTGGACATCGATAATGATGCCTTTTTCAGATCTGCTAGTGTTTAAGCTTGCTGTCACTATAAGCTGCCCCACATTTAAATGCTTCACAACTAAAATTATTAATTATAGAAAAAATCGTGTTTAGTTGCTAAAC